GTTAACTGTGATGGGTTAGGTAGAGAGAGAGAGAGAGTTGGGTTTGGTTTGATTTGGCTGGGATGTCTGTACTTACTGCCATTCCGAAATATCAGCATTTATGGTCCAGATCTGAGGTCGAAATGATGCAGGAGAATTGATGACCCATTTCTGCACTTCCAAAGTGCAACTTCTTGACTGTCCTGTCGTTTGCTAAAAAAAATATATATATAGTCAGAATCGTAAGTGTACTGAGGCCGTGACGAGAAAAGTCAGCTTCGTTGATGCGAGGCAGGTTTGAGCACTTCAAACAATCTGTCCGCAAGTATAAATAACACCCTCCACAGTAGGACATTCTTCATCCACAGGATCGCATGCAGCAAGGACCAGCTTAAGCTACGAGAAGCTTCTTCTGGCCCATCATGTCATCAACCATATCGTTCAAAATCTGTTTCATGATCCCGGCTTGCTGCTCAACAGGCACGGCGATTTTTCGCAAATTGGCGGTCACGCGATCAGCCATGGCGTGGAAGTCGATGTTCATAGCATGTCCGTCTGTGGCTTCAGAAAAGGGCATGTAAACGGCATCGGCAGACATGGTGCTGATCTGCGGTTTCATAACAACGGTCTCGACTTCTGGGCTGAAGGCGGCGTGTTCGGAGGTGCGGCTGTCGAGAGTCGGGATGATTGGAACGCGGACTTGGGAGTAGATGTCGATATTTTCGGGTGAGACGACGTCCGGGAGGTAGGCGAAGTCGATGGTCGACGAATCATTATTGGCCTTTAATGCACGAGAGGTGTTGAAGTGGCGAACAGCGGGCTTTGAGGGGGGATCTTGCTCGGCGGTAGGACGCTCAGGCTTGTGGATAGCAGTGGTGAATGCACGGGAGTGGGCGAGCTCATCAGCGTTGAGACGAGCGATCAGCTGGACTTTCCGTCAGTATTCGACCAGATCTTGGGCAGGAAAGAGCATTCGCAACTCACATCTCTCTTAGCACCTGATGCATCGATCTTACGTCTCTTGCACTCTGCCCGGAGAGCAGCAATGTCACGGGGGAGGTTGAGTACTGGACGCTCCTTGTGGAGAATGGGTGAAGGGTAGGTTGCAGGTCCAGTCATGTGAAGATGGCGGACGTGTTGGCTGGCGCGAGACAGATTGCGGAGGGCAATGAATTGCGTAGCTCGTGGTGCTGCCATTGCGGTGAGATGAGTTATTGGGTAGATGTCGAAAGGTGCGGTGAAGAGGTGGAGGTCCTTGAGTGATTGTCTTCAGTGTCAAATGGCCCCGACGAAGGCAGGCACGACCAGTGCAAATGGTGGTTTTGAGCGATGGTAGTATGGAAGCTGGAGGACAGTGACAGTGGGAAAATGTTGCAAGGCGGGTGGACGGAGGGTGACAGGTATTCTTAAACACCCGGACGGTCTCACCACGCTGCACCAAGATGACATGAGGATCACGGATGGGCTGCACGAGGCGCACTGCAGTGTGCAGCTATAATTGCAGCTCATTATTCGCTAGGCTTCCCGCAAAGTACTCGTCAACAAGCCAAGAAGGCAGAAGATACCGGGGACGTTGCAGCTCAGCAAGATAAAGATGTGAGGCGCGTGCTTAGCTTCCCTTCCCTTGCGGCTCACAGACCATGGCTGGCTCGACCGGGCTGCAATCCGGCCACGAGTCCCGTGAAAGCGCCGCATAGAATACTCCGCGAGGCGAGGCGAGGCGCTTGACCGCAGCGCTGTAATAATAATATCATGTGCCTGCCTGGTGCTGCGAGAATCATAATAATGGGCAGGCGGTGTGCGAGGTGCAGTACCAATGATGAGAAGGAGGAAGGCAGCACAAACTGACTTTCCGCTACCCCGCAAAACAAGCATTCACCTGCGATCGCGATCGTCGTTGGGAGTCTGCTTGGCGTGTTGAGTGATGCTGCTACAATTTGACGATGCCTTGGCCAGATGGTCACTGCGCAAAGAGCTGCTGTACAGACAGACATCCGTGTTGCCTCGGTGCGGGAGAGAAGAGCTGGACTTACACAGTACTACAATTCTCAGCGCTTGGTTCAACGCCTGGCGGTCACCGTGCAGTTCGCTTGGCCATCCCCGTGCCGGGATGCGGGTGAGATTGAGCTAAAACAGTGCCATTACCGGACTCCGACATCTCAGCCAGCAGCCAGCGCACGGTCGGCGCATTTCGAGAATGCGATAACGACGTCGTCATGGCGGTTGGTTGTGACAGAGTAGTGTTGGAGCGTGTTGAGATAAGGGACCGTGATAACATACGGTTGAATGTGGAGAATGAATGCATTGGGATGGAAGTAGAACCTTGGGCCCTTGGAAAGTGCCAAGAGCACTGTGCCTGAGCAGCGGAAGGGACTCCCGACCTCAATCTTGACTTCACCTCTGCAGAAGCGAATGCTGCCTCATTGTGCCACCTCCAGCAATACAGTAGAGCGAGCAATACAAGATGGCCTCTGACCCGTCGCCTCCATTTCTCCACCCCCTTCCCCCCAGCCATGCCGAGCCTGAAGGGCGGTGCGAAGAGGATAGGCAATGCCAGACAAGTGACGGCATACCTTACTGAGCCTCACATGAATTTGACCAAAGCCTTGGTGGGAAGTAGCGAGCCTGGCGGTAGACCTCGGAATTTTCATTTCCTCGAATGACATGTCTCGAATGAGGGTATGTATCGACACGCTCTCGAACTCGCAAAGTGGCTTGGGCGACTGCACGCATCCACGGCATTTCTAGAAGTCACTCCTTCCCGAGACCAAGCTGGCACCCAATGTAAAATCATGTCACGCTTTTGACGGCAACACGATGCTGCACCACGCGTCGCATCACTTTTCCCTCACAACGTTCGATTCGTCATGGCTGGCATTGACATCTATTATGCAGCTAACCTCAAACCTCACAGCATCTCGCGGCGATCATGCAGCAAACGCTGCTGTTGTCTCGAAACACGCCAACGTCATTCCGCTCCAACGGCACAAGCTGCAAATTTCTCGCCAAACGACAAATTCATCCTCATCCACAACCTTTTTCGCCCTCGCCTCGCCCAACTTCACCAACATCCATCACGGGCAATATCGAGTTCAGCATTTGCAAACATCCCAACATGGGCAGCACCTCAGCTGACGCCAATGGCGTGGACGAAGTGGCCGATATGCTTGCATCGGCCACGATGGATCATCTCCAAAGCGAAGAATACCGCCGCGTCCTGGACATGGTCGATCGCTTGCGCACCTGCGGCCTTGGCTCATTACTTCCATTGCCACAGCTCGTGGTCTGCGGAGATCAGTCTGCTGGCAAGTCTTCCGTGCTCGAGGCCATCACCGAGGTTCCATTTCCACGCAAGGAGAACCTCTGTACACGCTTCGCCACCGAGATTATTCTCCGCCGCGACCCACGCGAGACTGTCCACACCAAAATCATCCCAGATCGAGCCCGTACCGATGCCGAGAAGGCGAAGCTGGCCGACTTCAACGAAACCATCACCGACCTGAACGAGCTCCCTGACTTGATCGAGAAGGCGACTGACTTGATGGGCCTGAACGAAGCACCGGCGAACAACCAGTCTTCCACCCGAGCTTTCTCTCGTGATGTGCTGAGCGTCGAGATCGCCGGTCCCGGCCGTCCACAACTCACTCTTGTCGACTTGCCCGGCCTCATCCTCTCCGCAAACAAGGAGCAAAGCGAGGCTGACGTGAAGCTCATTCATGCCCTTGTCGGTGATTACATCGCGGAGAAGCGTACCATCATGCTTGCAGTCATCTCCGCCAAGAATGACTACGCCAACCAGGGCATCCTGAACAAGTGCAAGGAAGTAGATGCGGGTGGCCAACGCACTCTCGGTATCATCACCAAGCCCGACTATCTACGCACTGCCTCGAGCGAAGCAACATGGATCAATTTGGCTCAGAATAACAACATTTACTTCGAGTTGGGCTGGCACATGCTCAAGAACCGCACCGAGGATGAAATGGATTCCACGTTCGAAAGCCGCAATGCCTCTGAGCGTGCCTTCTTTAGCAGTGGACAGTATCGAGATCTGCCGGACACCGACAAGGGCATCACTGCTCTACGCTCCAAATTGTCGAAATTGCTTTTCAAGCATCTCAAGAAGGAGCTGCCCAACCTCCAGGCCGAACTCAACGCCAAGCACTCCAAGACCGTTGATGCGCTGGAGCAGTTGGGAGAGAAGCGTTCCACGATCGCCGAGCAAAAGCGTTTTCTCATGGGTGTTGCCACAGCATACCAGAACATTGTCGGAAACGCCGTGGACGGGCACTACGAGAACCCATTCTTCGGCCCCATCAACACCGAGAAGGGTTTCGAAGATGCTGGGAATATGCGTCGACTGCGCGCTGCCGTACAACAGCTCAACCTGCAGTTTGCGAGTCAGATGCGTCAATACGGCCACAAGTTCAGAGTCTGGGCAACCAAAGATGCTGCCGGCACGAATTCGAAGCATGATCTGCCGGAGCCAGCGATGGACGAGGACTACTCCGCCGCGAAGGACCTTCAGAAAGTTCTCAGTCGCGCACAAGCTGTCGAGTGGGTAAAGCAGATTCTCATCCGTACTCGTGGTCGCGAGCTCGCCGGTAATTTCAACCCACTGCTCATGTCTCAGCTCTTCTGGGAGCAATCCGAGCACTGGGAAGAACTGGCATCTCAGCACATTGATCGTGTCAGTGCGCTATGCTGTGCTTTCGCCAAGGCAGCCATCGACGACGTGGTCTTCACCGACGTCTCTATCAAGCTCCAGGCATCGAAGCTGGACGATGCCATGAGACAGCGTCGTCTCGCTGCCCTCGCAGAACTCCGTCAGCTCATCGCCGACAAGCAGCGCCCACCCATCACCTACGATCCATCCTACACTGCCACCGTCCATGAAGCTCGTAGTCAAAAGACAACAGCCAAGATCCAAACTCTAATGGATCAAGCCAAAGTCGACGTCAACAACGACGGCCAGAATCTCATCAACGCACAACTCCTCACCAACCAACTGAAAGAATTCATTGAACCAGACATGGACAAAACCTCAGCAGAAGACGCTCTCGACAGTCAACTCGCATACTACAAAGTAAGCAAATAACCCTCCCCCATCTTTCTCATCCTTCTAACCTCCTCTTTCCTCCCAGGATCGAGTCCGCTACTTCATCACCGCCGTGACCGACCAAGTCATCGAACGCCATCTCCTCCACAACCTCGCGCAAGACACTCTTTCCCCCCTCATCATCAACGACATGGCCGAAAAGGAGATTTCGTATATTGCCGCTGAGGCTGAAGAGGTTACGAATAAGCGTGCGCATCTCGAGAGCCAGAAAAAGATTCTGGAGAGTGGGCAGGAGGCGTTTCGTGAGGCTGTTGGGTCGTATAAGTAGCTTCGCATTCGCTGCAATGGGGAATTATTGTGTAGAATGAAAAAGGAAAGGAAAGGAGAGAAGGAAAGAAAGAAAGCTGTGAAGCAGTCAGTAGACCTTGGGCAATTCCATTTGAGAAACTTCTTGTTATAGGAAACGTCTAGAAGAAGGGCGAAAGCAAAGGCCTTGTCTATATAGCATGAACAACGCAAGGAAAGGAAACGACTGTCACTGTGGCGGCAGGCAGGCACTAAAAAAAAACGAAACCCTCTATATTAGTAACCCCCTTAGCAACTCCATCTATCTAAGAAAAGAAATCTCTTCTCGTAGGAATGTATATATACCTAGCAAACTATAGGGCAACTTAAACAACAGTAGTAAATAGACTTAGAAACCTAAACACTCCTAGTACTAATATAGTAGCTAGGCAAAGGTAGATAGATTATAGAGGGCCCTATAATAACCTATCTAAGTATACGTATAGAATAGTACTAGAAGGTAGTAAGCCTAGAAAAGAGATACTAGTAGATACTAAAGGTATTTTATATAAGGCTAGTACTAAGAATTTCTATTCTATATTAGAAGGAGGGTTTATATAATATATATATTTAGGTATTCGTAGCTCTACTAACTACAGAGTTACTAGGTAGTAACTTAAAGCTAGTTACTAGGTAATAATAGTAGTAGATAGCTTTGTTATAGTAAGTATACGTTTTACTCTACGTCGATAGATCCCTAGTTCTATAGCTTCGGTTAAAGGTTTATATATATAGTATTACCTAGATAGGATATATATATATATATATATATATATATATATATATATCTTTTTAAGCTAGTAGGCGATACGACTTAATATAGGAAGGAATATACTAGTATTTACACAGACATAAGAATTTTCTTACTAGTAATTAAGCTAAATTCTTTAAAAGAGTAAGAAGACTATACTATATATTCGTATATTAGTATTACGGTAATTAGTTTCTCCTATATATATACAAAAATCTTACTACTCCCCCCCCCTATAAAAAATCTCCTATTATCTTTAAGAAACATACCCATTCCCTACTAACGCCCCTACAACCTTCCCACTCCCTCTAGCGGCCTTAATCTCCGCATACAAACTCAAATTCACCCCCTTCTTCTCCAGCTTCTTCCTTTCCTTCTCACTCAGTCCTAAAGCACTCGCATCAAAGTCACTCGAATGCCATTCTTTCCCATCTTCACCATCTTCGGAAATCGTATGATGACTACGAGTGTCTTCGCCAGCTTCGAAACTCGAAGATGCGAGTTCCGAGGTGATTTCTATGGAGGTTTGTTTGAGGATGGATTTTAGGGGTCGAGGGTGGTTTGTTGAGCAGGAGGAGGAGGTTTGGGAGGTTTGGGGTCTAGGGGATTCTGAGCTGTCGTTTGGTTGTGTTGTGTTGTTGTTGTTATTGTTCGCTTTTAGGATTCCTCCTCCTGGATGTCTTTGATCTTCGGTTCGTAAGAGTGCGGAGCCTTTGCATTTGAGAAAGGCTTCGGTTCGGGATATCAGGGAAGTTTTTCCTTCTGTCAGGCTGGATTTGGGATTTGAGTCTGAAGGGTCGAGATCGAAGGTTTCTACCGAGAAGCGGGCTTCGGTAGGGAGAGGTAGGGAGGTTGAGAAGCGTAGTCCTCGAGGGACAGGGTGATCTTCTTCTTCATCATCGAGGGAGAATCTGGGTTCGGAGGGCATGGGCTCGTCGATATTTCGATCTTGGTGGACTGAGCCATTTTCTGTTGCTGTTTCTGTTTCTGTCTCTGTTTCTGTCTCGGTATTGTCGTTTTCTTGTTCGTAGTATGCGTTTACGGATTTGACATTACTATCGCCTTCCTGATACGTCTTCCCTGAAGAGTCCTTGAAGATTCTAGGCCGAGAGAAGTTCGTGACTGCAGGTTTCGGCCTCGACTGCTGTGTCTTCCTGATCATTGAGTCCGGACTCTCGGAGCCCAGAGTCGGCGAGTCTGCTGCTGCTTCTGCTGAGGCCATGGTAAATCCGAGACCGTCTCGCGTAGCTCTTGCAGGGCAATGAGGTTGTCAACCAGGGTGCCTTCACCTCGCGATCTCTGGAATCTTTCAACCAGGATGTCGGTGTCGCGTGGATTTCGCTTCGTCTGGCATGGAAAAGGAAGACGATAGCGACATCTCACCCCGGAAGAAGGTGTGGTCGTAGTGGACGCCGCAGTCGATAGCGTCCATTCCTGCAGGGGCGCATTGGGGGAGCCTGATGTGGGTGGACGTCACGCCTGTCTGTTTCTCGCCAGGAAGATCTACACGCCCGGTCACAAGCCACTCACGTCCCCAAAGCTTAAGCGAGCGTATAGGGATGGTGAAAGCAAAAGCCGTGCCTTAACCTTGATTGCCAAAAGCACAACTCTAAATCTTGCTCAATCGATCTACAATTGCTTCGTGCCAGGGTCTGGAAATCGCTGGCCTCATATGCATTGTAGATGAGAACTTGGAAGCCCAAATGCCGGATCAGATCTGATTATCACTATTTGATGCTATTCGGCAGTTGCAATTCCAAACATTTTCGAACGCTCTCTACGTATCATCACAGCATTTGTTGATGTGACTTCAATGTTGGCTACAAGAATCTCGGCCGATGACATGACATCACATCGGTCTTCACAGCGGATCATTCATTCAATTACACCTGGAAAAAGCTCGGTAGAACGTGAACAGGCAAGCACAGGCACACATACATATAACCAGCATTTGGCAATATCCACATGCGAGGAAATACTTCGGGATTCCAGCATCGGATTGACAAGATGCTGTCTTCTACCGATCCTTGTCATCAACAAGAAAGATTCCAGAACAAATCCTTGCTCTGAGCAAGGAGTACATCGAACTAAACAAAAAAACTTCTCGCTATACCACGGCTCATACCTAATCGATCCATCATTCCCACGACTCATGTATTCATTTTCATTCGTGCTTCGGTCTCCCACCTTGCCCAGCAAACTACTATCGTCCGATCGTTCGTACGGGCCAGCTCGGAAGTCAGGTCAGTTCCTGCGTAGTAATCAATTTGAATTTTTTTAGAAGATCACGTCCGGATATAATAAGTACGAACGGTTAATACATGTGCTTGTCAAAAATGTGCCGGCAGAATGGATGGGTTGTTTTCGGGACCCGGGAGCACACATGACTCAACTGACTAGGTAAGGCAGGTCGTGCAGAGTCTGAAAGAAGGTAGGTAACCACCAAGAGGAGCATTCGAGGAAGATGGAGAAGTGCGAGATGCGGTGTTGAAGTTGGAGTTGTGAAAGTTCTTCGTTTGATGGCGCGTAACAAAAGCGTCTCTCTGAGGTCGTTTTTAGAAAGTGAGAAAGATGCCTTCTTCATCAGGTACCTCCCCCATCCCGCCATCACACCATAGCAGCATATATATGTACAAACTATTCGAATGGTTAAAGATATGCATTCCTTCATCGTCATCAAACTTGGTCCTGATAGAAGTATTATCCATCTCATGCATAAATCCATCACTTGCCATCCATCATGTTTCCGTCAAAAAAAAACCGGCCTGAGATTTACTGTGCCCCAACGCCAGAAGTCTGGATTAGCGTGCCATATCTTGATGGCGAGCGTAGACCAGAACGCTAGATCATTTTCATCTTGAAAGCAGAAAGCATCATTCCGATGCCCATCTCATCATGGAGATGCGCATCAGTTCAGACCGGATCCAGGTCACTAATTCGTGCTACGGATCAAACAAAAAGTATCCGCTTTAATCCCCGTGATTTGCGCCGAAGCAATGCAGGTACTTCGCTTAGCGAAACTCGTTCCTCGTTGGATTCTGGACGTGTGGGAAAAGTCTCGTGCTGCCTCGTGTCCAAAGTTCTGAAGGCCTACGGTATGCGGCTGCGGCAATCAATCGCAAAAGAACGTTGAATTTTGATGATAATGCGGACTGCAATACGACTCATTCGTCTTCAGTTTTGAGCCCACCATGACTCTTCTTCTTGCCGGCCTTCATGCCGCTTAGTCGACCGAGCTTCTTCCACATGCCGGAGTCACGCTTTGGACTTGGCGCATCGCTCACTGGCGGACTTGTCGGCGGCGTCATGGGGCTGTCGTTCGTAGGGCTGCTAGTGCTTCCGCTATCGTCTGTCATGCCCTGGCCGTTTGTGGATCCGGACAGCGTGGTATCCGAGCCTTCGGGTATTGCGGCACCGGACATTGGCCCTGCAGGTGAAGATGTGGTTGGTGTGAGTTTGACTGAGAATCGCGTCCGGTGCGAAGGTGCTGTCAGAGGCAGCGGTGCTGACTGTCGAAAGCGAGCTGAGGGCGAGTAGGAGAGCGCGTGGGGCTCGACTGCCGATATAGGCGGTGAAGCGCGGCCTTGTTGTCGTGATCGCCTGGCATACAGATTCCGATCCTCGTACGTTCTCGACGAGACCATAGAATGGCTGTCGTCAGACGTGTCGTACGGACATGAGTTCATCGTCGGGTGGGCTGTCTGAGGATAGACACTGTTCAGGAAGGGCACGAGGACAGACTCCTCCATCAATTCGTAGATCTTGGCAACAGCCGGGTCCAGCGTCTCTGGAGCAGGAGGCATGGCCGCAGGTTTGAGTCCTATTATCGGATCGCGCACATCTGACGGTAGATTCACTTCACGCGAGCCATTCGGCTGAATATAGGCCTCTACCAGGCGCTGCCACAGAGCCTGCACGTACTCGCGATCTTTCGCAGGCGGCATGCCATTTTCTTGCGCTCTTGACATCATTTTCGCATAATGCTTTTTATATCTGCCGGCATCCATGGTGAATTCTAGCGTCTCCAGGCAGTGGTTGTTTGACAAATAGGCCATGAATGCGGCGAGCGTCCAGGGCGGCGGTGAAGCGTTTGCCAATATCTCTCGTAGGTTCGGTCTTCGCGGGCAGAATGGTCCTTGAGCAGCCATAGTGGGGATTGCGACTGTTAGAGGCCGCGAAGACGGTGCGTAGTTCTCATTCGACATGGTTTCCTCGTCGTCGGCGTCACAGTCTGACGTGAAGGTCGAAAGAGTCTTGAGGGAGGAGCAAGTGCTGGTAGACGAGGTGGTGGAAGAGGTCGTCGCAGTCGAGGTGAAGTGTGACGACGGCGAGGGTTTTCGCACCACCATAACGTTGCGAAATATGCCTTTTCTTCTGCTCCCAGGATTGGCCTCGCGAGACCGCAGTCCAGCAGTCAAACACAAGCCTTGCCGCAAGGGCGACTGTATCGACGCCAGTTTGACTTTGCAGGTGAGACGGTGTCGTCTCACGGCTTGCTGCTGCGTGCCAGCCGCGGGCAATGTGATCTATGGCACGATCTTGTGCAAAATAATAATGCTAATGGCAGTCAAGGTTCGGCGTATGACGCGGGGTCGGAGGGTGCGATGGTGGTATTTCGCGAAATATACGGCTTCTAGCTTCTGCGCTGTGGCACGTAACATGCAGGTGGTTGCTGGTGCGTGCGGTGTGCGGTGTGCGGTGTGCGGTGCTGCGTTGCACACAGCCGGCGTTTCACTCAGCAACTCAACTGCTCTTCAGCGTTGCCGTCTCTCGTTTACGGTCTTCCGTCCCGCTCGGTCGCGTCTCGCTCGGCAAGGCACAGAAATGACAGCCAGACAGCGCGTAGTTACTAGCAGCCTCAACACGCGCTAGACGCTGTCTGCAGCCGTCGGCAGTGTCGGCGTGCGATGATGCGGAATGGACAGCGTCTCTGCCCGTGCAGACGAGGCGGATTCGATGTCAGAAAGATGGCCAGACACGGCCAATTATTACGACGGACGGTGGCGTATTGGGACTGGCGAGAGTGCGTCGGTGTTTCGGTGGGTCGAAGCAAAAGGATGCGGCGACGGGCAGTGGTGCGTGGAGGGCGAATGATTGTCTTGGTCGGTCGGAATGCAGCAGTGCAGAGCAGCGCAGCACAGAGGCAGCGTGCTGGAGACCACAACCTTTTCAGGTCAAGGCTTGCCTGAGTGAAGGGCGAGGAACAGCCGGACAGAGAGAGTGGGAGTGGCCGATGGTGAAGTGGCGCGCAGCGGGCCCAAGCAGCTGACTTGACACACAGCGAACGACACACTACTCTACTACTACTGACAGGCTTCGGCTGGTCGTCGTGGTGCGAGGGTGAGTGGTCGGGAGGCGGAGCGGAGGCGGAGGCGGAGCGGAGAGGCTCTGGTGAGGGCGGTGCTGTGCCAATTCCCGTGTTCCCGCCGACGCAGTGATGCTGAATGTCAACTTTACACCACGGACGATGGTAAGATGAATGAAGGCAAGTGGTGAGTCGAATGGATGGCAGAAAACGGGCCTGTCAGCGCGAGCACCGCGAGATGGGCAACCAGAATGCACCGTCTCGCAATCATCGCACAGCCGATGCGCCTTCTGACATTCTAGTGCGCTTCCATGCCAATCACAATGCCGGGCCTGCTTTGAGCCACGACGCTATCATGGCGGCATGCGCTAGACAGGCATCCCAGCGCCGCTGTCTGCTCACTGCCGCTTTCCACGAAGCCAATCCCGCCCCACCGCAGCGAGATGCGCCGCGCTGATTCGCTGCGCCCCGGTCCCTCTGCTCCCCTCGTCCCACGCCTCGCAAATGCAAGCATCGTAGGGCCTTCCATTCCTTCCAGAAGACACACAACACTTCCCAGAGCCTTACCGCCCACACGTCTCACCTTGCCCGCCCTCGCATCCACGCGCTCGCGTGCGGACCGCAATCCGTTTGTTCGCTCGCATTCTTTGTCCACGGCGTGGCCGAAGCTTGCCGTTTCCAGTGACCATCGTCGATCCGCCAGCAGTAAAGTCGAGCTTGTTGGAGGGAAAGCGTTTCAAACTACCAGAGCACCGCGTCGCGTAATAAGAAGAAGAGGGGAACATGGCAAGCTTGCAAGACAACAAGAACGTATCCAAGGCCCGCCTTGCATTAGCGTCGACAGCTTCCCAGCACATCTCCAGCAAGGCTGCTCTGTGTCGCCGAATCACAATCGAAGCCCCATCGAAGCATTCCGGCCCTGCTGACGTATCTCGAGATTGCTCGACACGGCAAGATCCATTGCATATTGTGTGACACCCAGCACCTTGCACACGCGGTGTCCCTGTCCAGTGTAGCCACGGAGATTATCGCGCGAATAATAAGATGAAGCATACATGTGACCGGTGACCGGAATGGCGTGAGCGGTGAGCCTCACCCTGAGCGCTCGCACGTGCATGACGATATGTAATCACCACTACAAATAAAATAAAATGAGACGCCAGCGTCGCCAGGTATCATGATCGAAGGCACGCCCCTCATCAGGCAAAAGGAGTGCCCCATCTCCAAGCGAGAAAGGCGACATCCCTGACAAGAGAGGAACAAGGGTACAAGAAGAAAGCAAGCGTGCAGGTGCAGCACGAAAAAAGAAACCGAAGTGCTGATGAGTACCGTGAACCCGTGATTAAATTGATGTGATGTAAGCGGCCCCGCTAAAATCTCAATTCTCTCCACGGTCGAAATTTCGAATCTAAGACACCACATGCATGGAAGAATTCGAGAATTCTTCCGGAATCGTGCTTAGCTCACCCTAATACCGCCCGCACCGCGCCGGAGCTCGCGTCTCGCATCACTCGTGAGGCGGAATTCTTTGTTCGAAGCAGCGAAACCCGAGATTCGGATCGGACAAGTCCATCCCTACCTACTGCTATCGCTTTTTGTTTCTACAGTAGCTGTTAGAAACGTGACTTCTTCACCTTTCGCCTTCCACGGATAAAGATTTCCTTCAATTTCCATGCACAGCACAGACTACAGCACAGTACACAAGCGAAGAAAATACCAGTATGTACTCCGAAAATGCCGCCGAGACAGCATTGCATTGAATTTGAGGTGGAGACATGTTCGCCATCCTCAACGGTGTGACCGTAGGACCGATGCGTTGGATTCCGAAACGAAACGAAAATTCACGTAAACGAGATCAGGTTCGGGTTCATTCATTCATTAGATAAGGCCAAGTCGACAACACAGTAGGTAACGGTGAGAGCAGCAGGAAACAGGTGACTCCGCGTTATCCGTCCTTCCATCGATGAAGCAATGAGTGAGTAAAATCCGAACCCAAAATGACACGCCCATGTGGACGTGGACATCAAGCCCGACCGCAATACACTGAATGGAAAAAAGCTATGTAATGTAATATAATACCTCACTCCGAAAAGCCCACTTTCGACTCCACCGCGCGCGCCCATTGGCATACATAACTCCACCACTCCCAATGACCCATCCATCTCAGGTGACGTGAAAGCATGCGTCGCCAGTCGCCAGTTCTGACCGCGCTTCTTTGGAAACACCTTCCCCATGCATCTTAGCTACATACAGTATGCATTCTCGGTCTTCTGCCCGAAGAGGTATTGTTACCATGGTTCACCGTGCGTCTTCAACATGGGTGTAAGTCTCCGCATGGGTGCGTACGGTACGTACGGATCAGGTAAAGAAATCGACGGGTATGCATGTAGGTCGTGCTTCAGCGGTATTTGTAGGACCCATAGCTGGCATGCCAAAGAGGGTCGATGGATGGTGTCCAGATACATAAGCAGTGGTTGCGATGGACATCTTCTCACATGATGCTGGACATCTGGCTGAGTCCTTGTGAATTGTCACTCGTGCAACGCTTCTTAAAATGTACTGCCTTTCTGCCAAAGGTGCTTCTGCACAATCAATCGCTGACTGTTACCGCCCGTTCAGTGCTAATTCCAAGCAGAACCCCAGTCATCATCTTCCTCCTGCGCAGCGGGCGCAGGTGCCGGCTTGGGCTTGGCAGCGGGTTTTGACATCGTAGATGTGGTTGATGCTCTTGGCGCCGTTGTTGATCTCGAAGGTGGAGCCGACCTTGTCAGTGGAGTCGTCTTCTTCTTTGCAAGGCCTTTGGGCAAAGGCTTCTTGCTGCCTTGGTTCGACTGTGCTTGAGCATTCAGCCAGCCTTCGAAGTCAGGCTCGCCGCCATCATCATACGCGACACTGGTGGGCTTCGATGTTGTTGAGGACTCAGCCCATGGGTCGTCTTCGGTAGGCACATCGTCATTCAAGTCGCCCCATGCATCCTCTACACCGAAATCTTCTTCATCTGGTGGCGCCGATGTTACAGCGGATGTGGCTCGTAATCCCGATGCAACTCTAGGTGTTGATGCTGTTGAAGAAGTCGGTCGAAGTCCCGGGCCGAGAGACGATGTGCCGTTCGTTACCGAGCCGGGAGATGAGGCGGTTCTTTCCAGCGCTGGTTTGGGAGCCAGACCTGTGCCGTTGGGCTGTATTTCACCTGCTGCTGTGCTGAGCTTGTTTGTGAACGAAGACACTGCCCAACCAATCCATTGACCACTTGCACCCGCTGCGCCGGGCTGGGGTGTACTCATCCTCGTTGCCCCTGCTGAGGCGGTCTCTGGCGGAGGTAACACAGTATCTGGCAGGGTATTCTGGTACTTCCTTATCCGTTCAATATAGATTTGATGAGTCTTGTTGGCCTGATCTCGAATCATTTTCTCCTTATCGACCAGAGATGGGCAAATGGCGGGAAGCATTTTTGTCGCGCAGTCATCTTCACTGAAGACGTCTGCTGTTGCAGCTAGTGCCATGAGCGCGGCATTGCGTGCATGCACAAACGGATCCCGAAGAGCCCGCGAGAAGGCTGCGCTAAGCACTTTCGCTCGAGTGCTCACACCGAGATTCTTAGCAATCTTGCCAAGGCATATTGTGGTGTTCGTACGGATGCCAGGTTGTTCGTCATTTGCAGTTTTGGCCAGGTGTCGCAGAAGCTCGCCGTTGACAATGCGGTCAGACAGTTTCGGCGTTACAACAAGTACTGCCTTGACAGTTTGTTCGCGAACGAGGGGCGCCAAATCTCCAAATCCAGTCACCATTTGCGGAAAAATCTTATCTGACACAACCTTCTGGCTCAGGTAGTCAATCATGTGAGGTAAGTTGTCCAGGAGACATACGCGCAATGCCCTATCTGGGCTAGCGAAAAGTCGTATGATCACCGGCGTGACCTGAGCTGTGTACTCATCCTCGGAAAGCTTTGTCGATATCCGCATCGCAAGGGCAAAAGACTTAGGGCCGCCCCCTCCGAATTCGACCGCTTTTAGAAGTTCCGGAAGAACTTTGACCTTGAAGAAGTCCTCGGGAAATTCATCAGATTCAACCACTTTTTCGAGCTCGCTGAGGCATGTTAGCTTGCTTCTGCATCCTTGGTGGGCGGAGAGACTTGCCTGATGAAAGCATCCTTCTCCGACTCGCTCTTCAGTCCCATATTATCAATACCATCTGTGAGCTGAATGAGCGCGGTATCGAAAAAGCTTCCCCCTCTAATGCCTTGCTCTAAGAAATGCGCAACGCTCAATCGCATTTTTGGTAGTGCGTGAGTCAGTCGCTTGTAGCTGTTTTGCATATTCACCGGAATGTTGCTCGTCGAACCGATTTGATCTGAGCCCGAGAAGCCTCCATTGAAGACCTCTGAGACAAGGATGCCATAGTTGTACGCATCGACCGCATGTGTTGGATTCCGTCGCACGCAGTCCCATCCGCCTTTAACGACTTCCGGAGGTGTATAGCGCCCAATGTCTGGCACTAAGCTGCCTTGCGTGAATATGACCGCATCATCCTCTTTCATGGAGCTCAGGATCTCCAGCCCAGCAACCTTCCATTCTCCGCTTTCGCTTGTATAGATGGAAGACGCGCGAACATTTCCATGGACTGAGGCAGCCTCATCATTGATGAACTTGAGTGTCTTCGCCACGCTGTGAAGACCCCATTTCAAACTCTCTTCGCTCAGTGCTTTCCGTCTCGTTGACCAGTTCAGCGGAGTAATGCGTTCAGTGGCTATGTAGATAAGTTGGTCTGTCTAGCTTGGTGTCCAATAAGCATATGCGCATGCCTTGTATAGCTCTTCGCACCCACCTCAAGAGTATCCAGTACTTTCACGACTCCGGGATGCCGCAATGTCTTGAACTTTCTCAGCGCATTCTTGGCGAGTGGTAAGCGGGATCGATTGGCGTTGATGTCGAAGGAGAAGATGCTGCATTTTGAGCCGTCTTCCTAGTAATGGTCAACATGACTCAATTGGCCCAGTCGTACGTATACTCATGAAATACCCGCTTAGTGCCATTGTGCAACGTCCAGATAGACTGATCGATGTCAACTCGATCGCCAAAGGAGTATCCAAATGCTGGCCCTTTCGCTATGGACGCGACTGCTGATTTTAGGAAGTCCATCGTCGCGAGTGCCTTTCGTATACCAGGTCGGCTTCGTAGAGGACGGTAATCACTCAGCCACGAAGGAGTGTGTGTATCCCCGCGAAGTGCAACTTGTACAAAAATCACACGGCGGGACATTATCGAACCCTTGATGTAACTGTAACTCTATTTACAGCAGGGTCGGCGGGAGCTGCGGGAACAAGCGACAACTTTGCTCGTATCCAGTGCTATGAGGCCTGAGCTTTGACCTCGCATATCTCAAGGCTGGGTTGTAGCGAGGGCACGCGCTCGCCTCATGCGTAGTTTTGATTGAGTCCAGCATGGTCTTCCGCCTGCTGGCGCTGGCCTGTTCATGGACTTCACAAGCGGCTGCAAAGACTTCCTCAAGACCTCACTTCACAGCGCTACCCGGTAGATCGATGGGCATTCGCTATGGTGGTAAGTACTTGCATTCAGAACCGACAATACTCTTCTGCTGTGTCGCAGATCTGTTGAATATATCAGCTGACTAGACCAAGATCTAGGACCTTTTCGAGCCGAATAGACTGTTCAACCCGAAAGACGAGGACGATAACTATTCAGAGGAGCATCATCTTGCTGCGATGATAGTCCTGCTCGGTCCACCACCATCGGAGCTACTACAGATGTCAAAAAGAAGCCGAAAGTACTGGGACCAACGCGGAACGTGGAAAAGCAAGGTTGCCATCCCTGATATTAGCCTTGAATCTCTGGAACAACGTCTTGGGGGCGAGGAACAGCAAAATTTCCTCCACTTCATCAGGAAAATGTTGCAGTGGAATCCAAAAGACAGATGCGACTGGGAAGACATCCTCATGGATGAGTGGTTACTGGCCGATCTGATCAACAATGGAACGATAGATTTGAAAGACGCAGAATAACATCCGCTCAGAGTTTAAGCCAAAGCCCGGCGAATCTGCTAGCGGCCGGCCCTCCACACACCGCAGCCTTGCATACAGGAGTGTCAAGACTTGTTGCTCCATAGCCAATGGTGAAGATCGTAGTGAGAGGCTGGCCACCTGGTCCACGGAGAAATTGCGCCTGCCTCTCCAGAGGATTCAGACATCGTTGTCATCGTCCTGTCCCTGCTCTTGGACATCCTTCTCAAGCACTGGATGGCAACACCAGTCGTCATAAATCGACGCCCACTTCTTAGTGCATACCTCTTCGTCTGAATCGCTGGCATGCTCGTGGAAGAAGCACTCTGCATGTTCAAAGACGCCCTTTTGGTCATGAGGGACATGATCATCGTTGGTGCACCGGTGACATCCTGGACACTTCAAAGCCTCAGCATGTCTCTTTGCTTGCAGAAAGCACGCGGCAAGAAATTGAGGCGGAAACTCCTCCACAAGATTGGCTGTATCGTAGGCGTCGTCGCAATTCGCATAGATCGAGACATCATTTGCCCACATCTTGGCCAAATATTTGAAGAGAGAGTCGCTGCGTGGAAGCTTGCTGACGGCGTACTTAGTCTCCTCCTTGGTCGGAGGCAAGTAATTACGCGGTACCACAACCAAGGTCTTCAGCTGAATGAATTCGAGCACAAGCTTTCGAAATGCGAAGGTGTCGTGAGAGTCGCCGAAATGGTAAAGCCGAATCAGCCATTCATACGGCCAAGTTACTGGGTTGGAGAAGTCTTTCTCATCTGGCTTATTAGGCGCATTCTCGGGCAGAGAACCATCGGCACTGGGCTCCACCAGATCGAAGCCATAGAAAGTGACCACATTTGCCGGCTCTGGGTCGTTCCCTGGCTGGGTCGCTGGCATACTGACAAGAGTGGCTTGCAGCGGCTCACTCGGGCGATGCTGCTGCGTCTTTGTCCGCTTCTCATCGCGTTGCACTGAATCACCAAACCCTGCCCTAGCATTAGCGCTGCCATCGAGTTGGTCGCGTGGGTGACGTACGATCTTCAGTGCGCTTACGCTTGTTTCCGCCAGACACTGGAACACTCTTCTGCTCACTCGGACCAAGATAAAGACGCTGCGTGTACAGCCAGCGCACGAAAGTCTCGAAGACCCAGAGTGGTCCCTCAATCGTGATCGCCTTTTTCTGTGCCTCCGCAAAGCTTCCCAGGAAAGCTTTCTTGAAATATCTCGAGCGACCGCAGATCAGAGACCGTGGTATGGTAAAATTCACCACTTCATCACTGTCGATATTGACTGAAACGGTCACCATAGTCGGATTCCACAAATCCTCGTCGGGCAATTTTTGTGGCGGGTCGCTCAGGATCCCTGGGTTGAAGACTCGCTTCTGGTCTGACATCGTTTTGGCTGTGTTGAATCAGTTTGCGTAGTAAGATGTGGCACTCGGTTTAGGGTGGAAAATGAGGAGCAGATGGACTTGCGGCGCAAACGCCCAAGAACAAGATCCCGGGGCATCGCGCGGTAAGAGCGCCGATGACGTCCCGAGCCGATTTTGAGTACTGGCGTGTTATTAGGAAGAGGTAAGTGAATGACCGCCAATCTCCATTTCAAGTCGGTAGAGACAAGAAACTATGGTACACTTATTGACACAGAGTGTACAACCTACCTATTCTTAGCGAGAATGAGCTGATGAATTGCTGCACGAATTCATCGATTACAGCTTGAGGCATTGCTTGCTATGATGAAAGGGGAACCTTAAGGCCAAGGTTAATGCTGAAAGTTGCTCGAATAGCTTCACAGAAATGAATTTCCCATGCATGCAAAGCTATTCTACTCGCCATAAAACTACCAATTGCTGAGATGTTGCCTCTAAATCCTCCGTAGGAGCATGCATGTTACATCTCTCCATTCTGCATCACTCACAAGTCAGTATCACTTGGATCTCGTCTTGTCAGCAAGAATTCAAAGCATAAGGATCTTTGTTAAAAACAAATATTTGTTCTTCACACTCCAGCTCCTCACATCCGCCAGCGTCGTAATCGCACGTACACCGTGTGTCACAGCGAAATGTTAACCTCAATTGTATCCAGGCAGCGCGCGAAAGTCATTCGATCATGACGGATATCCCGTGTTCTTTAAACCCAGGCCATACTCTTAATTGATCTTCCCGAACACCTGTGCACATGCCTTGCTCTCGTCCTCATCTTTTTGCTCATGGAAGTGGCAAAGCCTGTTGAAGTATTGCAAGCCTTGCGAATTTCCCTACAGTTCTCTTGTAAAGACTTGGACAGAAGCAGAGCCAAGGTCTCAGGTAACAAAACGAGCAGCTCAGGCGATCTGTCGAGTGCCAGTGGAATGCAGCTGTAGACGAAGCCATCCAGGATGAAGCGATGGAGTGGTGAGTAAAGTTATCTGGACGAATCCTTTCCCGAACATTATCGGAGCTGCGAGGAACACATCTGCGCTGAGATTGCAGGTGGATGGTACTGGACAGCACCTGGTGGAAACACTACAGGACAGGACATTGGAATCCGACGTTGACCATGATCGAGTACAAGAAGAATTGGGACGCAGCATGAGGTGGAATGGTGAAGTCAAATCTAGACTTTGACAAGGATTATCCTCCACAGAGTCCACACTGGAGAAGGAACGGCGCTTGGAGGCGCATGGACCGCCAAGCACTTTCACGCTGCCCCTTTCTGCGCGCAAGTGGTCGTTCGCTTCCTACTCCTACACGTCAAATAGTACACGAGAGTACAGCGCGCAAATCCAGCACTCGTTCATAGTGCAGCCATTCATTCATTCATCCACCCAAATACACTCTTTCGAGCAACGACCAATCACTCATTTCCGTCGCGACCCTCCCTACAGGCCTGACACATTACACGACAGGGAGCGGACCAACAGACATCACCACCGCGACTAGACTTCCCACTCATCCTTCTCCATAATACCACTCGCTACTAGAGGACAATATGTTTGCCAAGGCTCCTACTGTTCTCGCCATTCTGGCCCTCACCGCGCAGGTCGTGGTCGCGACTCCTCCCGCTTGCGTGCTTGCGGCTGTCAAGTCAGTAGTCACCCTTGCAGGAGAAGGCATAGAAAACGCGAAGAGAAGAAAAAAAGAACGCTGACAATTTCCCAGCACGCAAAACGATCCCTCCGACTTCAAGACCGTGTGCGGCGCAAGCGAAGTCCAGCAGTACATGAGCAGCAAATGCGGCAACTACCTCGACACCGCACAAACGTACTTCTCCGACTACTGCAAAGCCAACGGCGCCAAAGTCGCATCCGTCTCCTCCTCCTCGTCCTCCTCTCACACCGCAACCCAGTCTTCCTCGGGCGCCTCTCACTCCGCGACCGCCACCGGTTCCGCTAGTGCAGGTACTGATAGCTCTTCTTCTACAGGCGCTGCCTACCCAGTTGGCACAGGCGCTTCAGGTTTCACCACTTCTGCAATTGCTAACGGCAGTTACACAGCCGGTACTGCGACTGGTACTGCGACTGGTAGTGTGTCTTCACATACCGGGTCCGCTACTGCTAGCAGCACGGGTGGTGCTGCGAGATTCGGTATGGATGTTGTGGGTATGGCTGCTTTGGGTGTGTTCGGTGCTATGCTTTCCTTGTGAGAAGCAGAAAGCGAGAAAGAGGTGGTGCGATGATCATTTTTTGGGAGTTCTTGCATTGTGTGTTATAAAAAGAGATATGTGTGTGTGCATATAGAAAGGCATGGAAATGGGATTGTATTTTTCTTTTTCTCGCAGGATAGGGGTTCGTTCGCACTTCCTAAGAGGTGTATGAAGGGAATAATGAAGGCTTGCCATATACTCAGCTCACCTTGCCTGACTTGATGTTGACTTCAATGCTTGGCGCGTATGAGAAGTGAGGAAATTGAAGTAAGGACGCGGATGGACAATAGGGACTGCTATATGCCTTCAAAGGTGGGTATCATGCGCGACACGACGCGTCACTACTGAAAGTGGACCTGAAGCCAGACTCTCTCGGGACAAACACAGCAGAGATTACGAGTAGATACTCTCCCGCACTGCTACAAGTACAACGTAGATCCCCCAGCATATTCAACATAGCACTTGAATTCTCAAAAGGGATATATATATCTACAACGGACTAAATATCTTTCCTCACAAGCCCAGCACTCTACGACGGAGCCTTATATCCGACCTCAGCAAGTCCATCCTTCAAAGCCTGAATCGCACGGTCAATGTCATCTTTCTTGTTATCCGTAACGCTCACGCCCATGTGTCCGAATCGAATGTACTTGGTTGCGATCTCCTTATGAAGGCCTCCAGCAAAAATCACGCCTTTCTTCATGAGATTTGGTAGAATCTCCGGTGGCTTGAGGTCATTTGGTAGATAGATGGCTGTCATGCAGTTGGCTTGGTTTTCACGCTTCGAGGCGAGTTGTTTGAGGCCGAGGTCTGCTACTGCCTTCTTGACCTTGTCTGAAACTTCTTTGTGCCGTGCGAATCTTTCGCTGAGCGGCTTAGAAAGGATCTGAGTAAGGGCGGTGTGGAGGGCGTGGATAAGCTGTGGTGATGGCGTGGCGAAGTAGGATGGCTTTCTGGATTCGTAGTTTTGCATGATTGGTAACCAGTTTTGCCACGATGCGAAGTAGGAGTTTGGACGAGTCTTTCTGCTCTTGAAGGCTTCCATGGCGCGGCCGGAAGCCATGATGATTGAGAGGCCTGCTGGGCAGCCAATGGCCTTCTGCGAGGCGGTAAGGACGACATCGATATCCCAATCGTCGAATCGAATCTCCTCGCCTCCCACTGAGCAGACTCCGTCGACGATGAGCAAAGTCTCTGGAGAGACCTTCCGGACGAGCTTGGACAGAGGCTCGATCTCTGATAGCACACCTGTAGAGGTGTCGGTGTGTGTCACTGTGATGACCTTGTACTTCTTCTCTTTCAATGCCTTCTCGATCTCGTCTAGTTGTGGTCGCTCACCAATGGGAGCTTTGAGCTGGGTTGCCTTCACGCCGTACGTCTCAAAACAGTCTGCAAAGCTATCTGCAAAGTAGCCAGTGTGCAGAACGAGTGCCTCCTCACCAGGCTCAGTCAAATTCGCCGCGACTTGGTCCCATCCTAGTGTTCCTGAGCCGGAGATGATGAAAGGCTGGCTAGCTGGGTTCTCGGTCTGGAACAGCTTCCGCAGCATGGACAGAGTCTCGCCGAAGGTGTTCACAAACGGTTGGCCAACATGAGATTCGGAGTAATGGCTCATTGATTGCAGGACAGCATCGTCAAACTCGATGGGCCCTGGAATCAAGAGTGCTGGGTGAGGCGCCTGGCTCGACATTTTGGCAGCAGCAGGTTTTGCTCTTTTACCCTCTTCTTGTAAACTGATTACAGACTGAGAAAGATCTCTTCTTTGCTCGGGTTGCTTGAAGGGTCGGGATGGTATGAGGTCGTCCAATGGCTTGCTTTGGCCTCGCTCAATGGAATAAGGAGTGTTCAAGGGAACGTCGTGAGAAGTTGAATAACTGAAATGTCTCGACAGTTGAGATAATCTTTCTTTTGGAGGAGACATTCGGCGGACGAGGGGTACACCTCTTAAGAATGCACGTGGGGTAGCCAGAATGCCTGCTGCCGATGACGGAGTGGGAGGCCGTAGTCCAATGGCGAGATGAAGGTTCCTGCAGACAGCGGCCAGCCCTCGCCGCAATAGCCGCCTGTGAGGATTTTCGACGAAGTTCTTCGCTAAGTGCTTGGGAAGAAACTCCCTGGCCGCGAAAGGAGTGGATGTACTGGATGGAAGGCGCTATGCTATATGAGTGTAGATCTACGCCAACAGGTGTTATTTCGGTCAAGAGACTTTCCAGATCACCGGGCGAGACCCCTGGAGACAGATTCGTGCTGTTCCGAGCAGTTTTCGAGCCACGAGAGGAGAAGTTGTAGTACCTTGTAGGGTTCGATCAATCAGGCAGTGGCGATGAATCGTGAGGCGGATGGAGTGGCTTTCATTCGATCCGAATGATGGTATCGAGACTCCACAAAAAACGTATCTCACTGTCGGCAATGTTTCCGTCAGAGACATTTGACGAAGCGGCTGTGGCCGCCGAGCTAGAACAGGCTCGAGATTGCCCATGTCGAAGTGTAAGCCGTGTTCAGCTGTAGACAGCAACAAGATACATCCTGCACCAACAATGTCGTCGCGGCTTGTCCTAATACTGGGCGACCTCCATATCCCCGACCGAGCGATTGTACGCTGGACAAATGCTGATCACGCCACGAGCGACGCGAATCGCTGACATGGCTCCAGGACATCCCCCAGAAGGTCAGCAGCAGCCATTGCACACGCAGGAACAGCTACTGAAGCATCCCACAGTTCAAGAAACTCCTCACGCCGGGGAAGATCGGGCAGATACTATGTCTGGGCAACCTCACATCACCGTCCGCGTACGCCTTCCTGCGCAATCTAGCGCCTGATCTGCAACTCGTGAAGGGTGACTTCGATATTCCCCTCTCGTCGCCCGCACCCGCTGCTGCCTTCCAGCAAGGCCAGCAGCCTCCGAGCGAATCCAGCTTTCCAATCCCCACAGCTCTCAGCAAAGTAGTCACGCATGGCAGCTTACGCATCGGCTTCACACACGGCGATAGCATAATTCCTCCCGGCGATCCAGATGCACTGCTTATTGCAGCGCGCCAAATGGACGTCGATGTACTATGCTGGGGTGGAACGTGCAAGTTTGAGGCATATGAAATGGAAGGAAAGTTCTTCGTCAATCCCGGTAGCGCTACTGGAGCCATTAGCTGGGTCGACGAGACGTTACCTGATGTTGGAGAGGATGGCGAGGAAGGAAATGTGCCGAGCTTCGTGCTGATGGACGTTCAAGGAGACGTGCTGGTGCTGTACGTGTATCAGTTGAAGAAGGACGCTGAAGGCAACGAGAATGTGGCTGTCGAGAAGGTGTCTTTTCGCAAAGACGTTGCGCGCACTTGAGACAAGATTGAAAGCTGATGAGATCATGCTTGGTCCTCGACCGACGAAGAAGAAGCCGGCGGAGAAGGATTAGAGCAGGTACGTAATGAGACAAACGACAGGATTCAAATCAACCTTCGGCACAAAGTCTGAAGTATAGAGGTAAGCGTGCTGCACGATGGAGCCTCAGTCTCAGTCTATGCTAGAGCTACATTCTGATCATGATCGCTACCCACCAAGAAACTTTTGAATCAAGAACAATGAGCAGACTAGGTGTGGCCTCTCCGCGCAACTCGGGCTACGTGCAGCCACCAAAGTATGGCTGTTCCATGATATCGAGACCTTATGCTCATGACCAGGAAACTACAGGCCTTTATCTGGGATTCGCCATTTCAGAAAAGAAATGGTTGCGGCCGCACGCGCGCAAGGGCACCAAACTGAAGAGCAACGCCATTCTGTATAGCACTCATTCATTTGATTCCGGGAACCTTGTAACGCACAATGGACGAGATCATGGCCCTTTCACAGGCCTGCAGATGACGATCAATGCACGGTCGTCATTTAAGGAGAGATGGCTTATCACGTCTGACCGGTAGGAACTCAACCAGACGGAGGGAACCCACTGCAAGAATGCTACTGGGCTTGTATTCCGGATGTAGTCCCCGGTCTTTGTGGCCCAATTCCAGGAGTCAGTAAGTACATCTACTATCCCGATGATGCACGGAATCCTCTAACGAGAAGTTTGTAGAAAGCGAATGCAGTTGCCAAGATGAATGTACAGCCTGTTCAAGTGGTAGTTCGGAGGACAAGCAATATCGCAGTGATTGCAATTATGCCTTCTGCGGCGGCGAAGACCAGTGCAAAGGTTGCAATCCGAACATCTACAAGCTGTATAGGAAGGCGTATGGTTTGGATAAGCCTGATTGTGGTTGTGGAGATCAGTGCGTGAGTTCCCAGTATGTTGGTGAGGACTACTTTTGATAGAACAATCAATCATTTGGAGCTAGCCATTAGGAAGAAAGCAGTGCCATCACCTCCCTGCGCTTTCCCGCAGCATATATCGATGACTGGCTGGCACGAGTTCACTGTCAGGCCTCGGGATGGTTCCGGCAGTAGTTTCAGGCTATCAACAAGCCAGCAACGCTTGAGTAGAACTCATGTCGCCAACGAAACACCGGTATCCTGGGAAGGAATGGAAAATATCGCCATTCGGCAAGACGTGACACCTAGCAGCTGCTAGAAGGCGAGGCCCTCTGCTCTACGCTCCATATAATGTGCAATTGAGCGTAACGACTGAGTGATACATGCGCGGATCGCTCCAATCGGGCACCATCGGGACACCCATCCCTGTTGCGATCGCACACGAGCTTGAAGCTACGACATGAGCTTGCTTACCAACTTCGCACCACTTAAAAGGGCCACGACTGACTTGATATCCACCAAGGACTCCGGAAATGCGCGCAGTACTACGACCCGATCAATTCCTAGCGGACTGATGATCTCTCCGAGGCTGCTGATAGCTGATCTCCGCAGCGTCCACAGAAATTTTGCTGTGGAACCGAACACGATGAGGCAGCACAGCACCGTTGCAAACAGATTGCACACCTTCCTGGCCTCCCACTCATGCTATCCGGAAGAGGCCCGCTCTGAGTACGACCCTAAAACCCAGTCATCCTTTATGCCGCTCAGATCGAGTTGAGCCTGGCCATGATGCTCAATGCACACATATATTCCTTGACATGACGCTTTCATGCTACATACGAAATCAGCTGGAGTCTACACGCCAATACCATCTGCACCAATTGATCTCGAGCCGAATCCCGCCATGATGTCTACCAACAAGGTCCTTCAATCTTCCGTTGTATCCCTTCAAAGCGACCTACCCTTCGTTCTGGGCAGAAAGGCAGCCTCAAAAACCTCGACTGCATCAACATCCCTCGATCCAATTGCAGTGGCCCAGTTGAAAGCAAGAGCCATCGCTGCCAACAAGCGGAAAGAAGCATCATTATTGGCGAAATCCTCACAACAACAACCTCCACCAGAATCTCAGCATCATCAGACACGATCCGCTCCTTCTCCGCATTGCACAAGGATTCCCCACGGGGTTGAGAAACATGGCTGTTCAAACTCTAATATTTCGAAATAATTGCGGAGTCGGCGAAGGTCGAAAGGTAGCACGAGAACTTGAATGGATCGGAAGGAGGGGGCAGGCTATCTCCTATTAGACCCTTGCTTAGAGCGCACGAGCCACCGGTTTATTTATAAACCCCTTGCGCAGCAAGGGTCTAATAGCAAAAGTACCGATCGGGCTAGATCTAAGATCCCTAATTTGCGATATTGTATATAACGCGATATATATTAATATTTTATAATAAGGACGTAAAGTAGGCAATTGGATTTTATTCTACCTAAAAATTATATTAATACGACGTTAGGTTGTTATATTATCCGAGCAAAGCGATATAAACAGGCATAAGCTAGAGTATTCGAGGAGCTTACGACGAGGATGCAAAGGTATTATCTATTTACGAGCTAAGCGGAATAATAGTTAGAAGTTAGTAGAATTACGTACGAGGTATTCGCTAGGGGTTTAATTTAAAGATGCGCTTATACAAATCTAGCTAGGCCTCTAATTAGAAGAAAAAGAAAACGAAATTATATGTAGGCGATCTTATTAGAAGAAATTAAAAGGAAGTATTAGCCTAATAAATCTGTTAAGTGCCTAATAGCAGCCGGGGGCCGGTATAGAGGGTAGGAAGGCAGGAGGCAGGTAGGAGGGCAGGAGGCAGGCAGGTAGGTAAGAGGCAAACTAGTAGGCACTCCTAACTTTAGGACTATTATTCCGCTTAGCTATCGCTTCGCTCGGCTACCTTAGGCAGTACCTGCCTATACGGTACTTTATAGTCTATAAGCCGAGGGCACTACCTAGCTAAAAGCCGGCTTTAGTAACAGACTTAGTCTTACTAAAAACACCTATTTTAAAACATCGCCTAATCGATATATAAATACTTAGAGGCCCTAGCGCTACTAATTTTATAATAATCCCCGTTTAGTATATATATATACGATAATATAGTATTATATTATATTTAGAGAGCAGAGGTTACTCTAAGCTATATACTAAGACTTAGCTTTAGTTAACTTTATCTACCTCTTCTGCTTTATCTTCCTTACTAAGGCAGTACGCCTCGTCGCCTACTATTATAGTATAGGTATTAAGTACGATGTCCTTCTCCTACTTTAGTAACTAGACTATATTACTATTACCGAAAACTATATTATAGAGAGCATTATATTGCTACTTAGATAGCGTGCCTAGCATTTCCTAATCCTTAAAGACGCGGTCTAGCGAACGTATAGTAGCGTTACGCTTTAGAGCCTTTATATTATACTTACTAATATCTAAGACTAACTATTAGATCTTAGTATACGTAAGTAGCTTTAGGTTAATAGGATCGCGCTTAAAGGAGTCGTAGCGGACGACGAAGCGCTAGCTTAGTATTAGATTGAATGCGCGTAATGCGCTTATAGAAGTGCTTGTCTCTTATCCTAATATTATTACCGATTAGAATACTAAAGAGGTATTATATCTCGACTCGCTCGTCGGCGGCTAGACGAGTACCTATACCTATACCTATAGGCTATATCTGTATCTATATCTATAGCGGTAGCGATAGCAGTTAATCTACTATTATATAGCTCGAGGTCCTCGTCGGTATTAGAACGTATATAGGTAGAGAGTAGGTCTTCGATCGTAGTTAGAGTATTAAAACTTATATTCGCGGTTTCGCTAGTCTTATTATAACTATATCGTTGTTAGGACTAAAGAGGTTATACGTAATTAGTATGTAACTAGGCTCGAGTAAAGCTAGGGTCTTAATGCCTTAGGCAGGGCTTAGCGCTTAGTAATAGGCTAACTTGCCCGCCTTCCTCTCTCTTCTCCTAGCTCTTTATCGAATACTACCTATACCTACTACTATCCCATCTACCTACTAATATACCCTTCTTATATAGTATTCGATCTACCCTTTAAGGGTAGTAGCTAGATAGTCCTTATTTCAAGCTTTTAGCGGTATAGCTACGAAAACTATCGATTTAACTATATTACGCCCGGAGAACAGGACCTATACGTACTACTCTATTAAAACAACCGTACTAATTATTAAGCAAGGCCTTCTATACGGCCTATTATACTATGTTAATTATACTAGGCCGATACCTACTAATTCCGCTATATCCGTACTATAAGGGGCTATAATATATTATTAGTACTATCCCTTATTATAATAGCCGGCTTATTACGAAGCAATAACAATAACCGCGGCGCCGCTAGCAGCGCTAGTAATAACAATACTAGTAGTATAGAGCCTATTAATAAAGAACCTATAATTCCGGGTAATAATCTAGAATTGCCTATTAACGATATTCTTAATAACATTGTTAACCGTCGATATAGCTAACTAGCCTTTAGCCCTTAACTAGTAGGGAGACTTTAAGAAGCTACTTAAAACAGGCTTACTACCCTGCGCTAAGAATAATAGCTAAAGGATAACCTCCTCGAGCTTCGCCGCCTTTAGGAAGCCCTAATAACTACTACTAACCTAATAGCGGGGCCTTTATTATCTATTTAGAAGAGGAAGGATACTAAGCTTAGAGACTACACTGTATTTAATAGCTCTAGTCGAAAGCAATATAACGACTATATTCGTAACTGCGAGCTTAACTAGCGAAATGCACCGAGGGCCCTTCTAGACGACTATTTATTAGTTGTCTACGCTATATAGTATATTAATAGCGACCTAAAGCGTACCTAGAATAACTATTTTAACTCCCTTAACGACTAGACCGCTATTTAGTAGCAAACCTACAAAACTATTATACTAGATACCCTTAGAAACTCTATACTAAGGCAATAATACGCTTAGAACTAGTATCTTCGAGCTAAATAAAAGACTAATCAATCGGCTCGCTTATTCGAGGCCTATTTAAAGACTCTCGAGGACGACCTTCCTACTAAGACTAATTCTATATAGATCTCGGAAATATGCCTAAAGCTTAGATAGGAGCTTATTCTCGAATTAGACCGTCGCCGTATATTTAAACAGGCTAACCTAATACGCATTTAATTTATAGTCGAAGTAGAAATAGCTAAACGAGCTGTTTAGCTTTAATAACGACTAGAATCGAGGATCCGACTATCTAGTACTAACCGCGGCAATCGTAGTGCCCGCGGAGGAAACTAAGGTTCCTACTAAAACAATACTACTAACAATAGGAACGGTAATAATAACCGTAGAAGAGGCCGTAGCCGACGGCTATATAGAGGAGGCCGTAATAGGGGCCGTAGAAGGGGCTCGTATCCCTATAATACTAACCGCTCGACTAATAATAGTAGTAATAGCTATAGCAGCCCTCTAACCGGATTAAAGTGCTTTAACTATAATAGCACTAGCTATCTACTAGGCTAATACGATAAACTAAGGGATTAGGCCCGGATTAACCGCGCTTCCGCTAAATATAGGAAACACCTTTTAGCGGCTAACGCTACCCCTATAGGCTAACCTTCGAAAAAGGAGTAAGCGCCGTACTAACTATTAGCCTCGTACGGCGTAAGACTATCGATATTGTGCTAGCTATTATACGTACCTGTCTCGTATATAATACGTATAGCACTAACTATAAAACTAAGGTTATGCTAGATCTAGGAAATTTAGTTAGCGCTCTTATTAGCTATCGCCTAGCTAAGCAATTAGACCTTCGACAATTAAATAGGGCTAACCTACTAACCCTTGCTTAGTTTAATAAAGCCCGGCACCTAACCTATAGGGCCTACTATATTCCTATAGTTCTAAAAGACGACCTTAGTAATAAGCGCCTATTAGATTTTACTACCTATATAGTAGATATAAACAACCTTCTATCCGATATTGTCCTTAGAAACCCTATTCTTAAGCACTACGCCGTAGCTATAGACCTAGGCAGCTAATAGTAGCGATTTAGAATCGCTAGGAAGGAGGATATTAAATATATTAATATTAGCGAGTGCCCTAACGATATTAGGGTCCTATTTATTAGCAACCTAATACTAGCCTCTACCTTAGCTAACCTAATAGTCGACCTATTAGGGGATAACGATAAACCTCTGCCCCCTAATAGCATAGACCCTAATTAGCTTGCTTGTATCCTATAGCCTATTCGAGAGACCTATATTAATGTATTTAAACACTACCTAGTATCGACGTTGCCTATATTTAAAGAGACGGACTATAAGATCGATATTATATATAGTAAGGAGGTTCCTTTTAGGCTACTCTATAACCTTAGTAAAAGAGAGCTTGCTATATTGCGTAAATACCTAGATAAGAACCTAGCTAATAGTCGAATTTAGTATAGTAATAGCCCTGCTAGTGCACTAATCCTGTTTGTTCTAAAGAAGGATAGTAGCCTACGCCTATGTGTTAATTACCGTAGACTTAATGCTATTACTATTAAGGACCGCTGTCTACTTCCGCTTATTAATAAGACCCTCGACCGCCTATCTAGCGCCTATTTCTATACTATATTAGACATTAAGGATGCGTACTATCGTATCTGCATTTGTAAGGGCGATAAATAGAAAACAGCCTTCTATACTCGCTATAGCTATTTCGAGTACTTAGTTATACTATTTAGCCTAGCTAATGCCCCTATAATATTCTAGTCGTATATTAATCGGGCCCTGTCGGGCCTATTAGACTACCTCTATATAGTTTACCTAGACGATATCCTAGTCTATATATACTTACCTAATACCATAGAGCACTAGGCTATAGTTCGTAAGGTACTCGATCGCCTAAGGACCTATAGACTATATTGCAAGCCTTCTAAATGCACCTTCGCTACTAAGGAGGTAGCCTTCCTTAGCTTTATCGTATTAACTAATAGTATTAAGGCTAACCCTAACCGTATTTAGACTATTACTAAATAGCCTATTCCTACGTTAATTAAGGAGCTATAGTCGTTCCTCGGCTTCGCTAATTTCTATCGCCGCTTTATTAAAGGCTATTCCCGGCATATAATGCCCCTAACTAAGCTTACTAAAACTAAGGCTAATCTATCTAGGGAGTTTAAATAGACTAATAGAGTATAAGCCGCTTTTAACGGTCTAAAGCAACGCTTTACTAAAGTCCCCTTATTGCACTATTTCGTACTAAGTAAGTAGATCCGAATTGAGACTAACGCTTTATAGTTCGCTATATTAGCTATTATGTTATAATAGGCTAATAACACCTACTAGTACCTAATTGCCTTCTTCTTACGAAAGATAATCGATATAGAGCGTCGTTACGAGACCTACGAGTAAGAGCTCTTAGCAATCGTAGAAGCCTTTAAGTACTAGCGCTACTATCTCGATAGTGCTTAGTACCCTATTTAGGTCTATATAGACTATAACAACCTCCGTAGGATTACAAAGGTTACTAGGGTTATAAGTCGATAGGCTAGATAGGCTATCTACCTCGCCGGGTTCGATTTTAATATATTATACTAGCTAGGCGTAAGTAACCCTACCGATAGCCTATCGAGGCGACCTAATTATAATAGCGAGACTTAGTATATTAATTTATTGTTTCTAACCCTATAGTATAAGATTGCTATAGCTCGTATTTTTAATAAGCAAGCGTAGGATAAGCGGACTTCCGGACCCCGCGGCGGTAATAAATACTATAGCGGAGTTGTCGTTCTTCTAGTATACGTTAGAAAGGACGTAGATCGCTCGAGCTATAATAACTCGATTAAAGACATTACTATCTATAGTAATAGCCTATATAGCGACAGTACTATAGAAGAGGTTATAGTAGTTCCGGCTACTAGTACTATTAGATATATATAATACGTACCTCGTTCGATAGCAAGGGTGCTATTAAATAACCTTATAAATAGGGATAGTAAATCGTTTATAGATAAGCTATTGCGTACTTAGCAGAGGGACGCCTTTGCTATTAAACGTATTAATAGGCTTGTAAGTAGGCGAACGACTCGATCTAGTAAGAGTAATAATTAGTCGATCGACGATAAGGGTTACTTAAAGTTTAAGGGCAGATACTATATCCCCGCTAAACAATCGATTAGATAAGAGCTTTTAAAGCGACACTATAATAGTAAGCTTGCTAGTTACTATAGTATAGAGAGGTCGTACGAGCTACTATCGCGTATATACTACTAGCCGAATAGTAAATAGTATATAAAATAATAAAAGAATACGTATAGACCTACGTAGTATACTAGCGTAGTAAAGTACTAAAGCACTTACTTTTTAGCGAGTTGTCTTTACTTCCTATTCCTAGGAAGCTATTCGTAGAGCTTATAATAGACTTTATTATAGGCCTTCCGCCTACTAAGCGTAGAGGCAGTAAGGACGTATATAATACTATCCTTATTATAGTAGATCGATTTACTAAAGGCGCTCGGTATATCCCGGCGCGCAAAGATTGGACTGCTATTAATATAGCAGAGGCGCTATAGACTAATATCTTCTATACCTATTAGGGAACCCCTAAGGGGATAGTGTCTAATCGTAGATCGACACTAATATCTTATTATTAGAGCGAGATTTGCTTGTAGCTAAGACTGAAGCATCGGCTATTAATAGCCTTCTATTTATAGACTAACGGTTAGATAGAGAGGCAGAATGCTACGCTATAGCAGTACCTGCGTAGCTATATTAATAAGAACCCTAATAACTAGGTTAACCTCCTATAACCTATAGAATTCGTATATAACAATAGTGTGCACTTATTAACTAAGGTCTTACCCTATATAGCTATAATAGGCCAAAACGCTACCTTACTATAAGACCTATTTACCTCGCTCGAGGCCGAGCGTAAGGAAAGGGAAGCGCGTTAAGTACTAGAAACACTAGCGGTAATAGAACGTATCTAGAAGATGCGAGAAATCTATACTAAGATAGCTAAGAAACTAATAAAGGCTTAAGAGTACTAAAAGACCTACTACGATAAGCGCTATATACTAATAACCTTTAAACAAGGCGATATAGTTATACTTAGTACGAAGAACCTCCGCATCCGCGGACCGCAAGCACCTATTACCTAATAGCAAAACAAGGCCTAAGCTCGCACTAAGATACATTAGCCTATTCCGCATTCGAGAAGTTAAGGGCTCCTCCGTATAGGCCTATTAGTTATAGCTTCTACCCTATTATACTATCTATAATACCTTCTACGTATCCCTCCTTAAACTATATTACTAGCGCGAAGGCGATAAAGCGCCTACTAAATCCGAGGATATACTAGCTAATAGTAAAGAGCTGTAGTCTATAGAACGTATTCTAAAGTATCGGACTAGGCAAGGTAAGAAGGAATACCTCCTAAGATAGTAAGGCTATTTACCTAAATAGGACTCGTAGGAAGCTAAAGCCTCTTTTAAAGACATAACTAAGTTGTTAGATAAGTATTAGACTAGTATAAAGAACAAGAAGAAGGCTAAGGGCCTATAATGTTACTAGAAAGGCCTAGGATTAATGCTACCCCCGGGGTACTATTAGCTAACTAATTAGAGGCAAGCAATTGTTAGTAATAAAGGATAATAAGACTATACTACTATAGTAAACGCGTACCGAGTGTTAACGAGCGCGCTATAACTATTAGCTAACCGCCTGCTCTTTTAAGGAATCTACCTCTTTACTAGCGTACCCTATAAGACCCTTCTCTTAGCGCCCCCTCTTATTCCTTTATTCTATCGAGGCCCTAAGGCCTAAGCGATCGATAAGGGCGATACGCGCGCGCGTACGAATAACGGTAATAAAGATAATAGTGTCGCGCTACGAGCTAGTAGTATACCGGCGGCTAGCGCGGCTATATTAGTAATAGTATTACGGAGTATATTGCTAGTTAAAGCGTTACTAGCCGAAGAAGGAAATTAGGAGTAAGGTAAAGTTAGCGCTAAGACGGCTAGCGCTGCTATTATTAATATTACCTACTCGCTACTATTACTAACCTTACTTATTATCGCTACTATATCTACAAAAACAATCTCACCTATACTACGCTAACTAAGTTAAAAGATTAAGCGACTAATAGACTAACTAAGGGACTAACTAAGGGCAAAAAATATAGAGCTAAGCTAGCTAGGGTCGATCTTATAGATAATAGGTTACTCCTCGATCTTTCCGACCCTTTAAGCGAGGCGAACCTTAACTACTATACTTATAATAGCCTTTACCTATAGAAACTAGACGAACTATGTTTTAAAAAGATAAGATTAATTAACACTTAAAGGCTACTAAACCTAACTAATTAGGGCTAGCGAAACTACGATAGTAAATAGCCCTCGGAAGTAACGGAAATAAGCCCTTAAAACGAATATTGCTAGGTCTTTTAAAGTAGACGCAAAGAACTCGGAACGATATTACTTAGAACAGAGGTAGTGCTGCAATACCTCGTACGCCTACCTATTATAGTAGGGAAGACGCGCTCGTATTATAATTAGTCGATAGTCCTTAATTCTTATAGATATATATTACTTTATAGTTTATTATATATAGGGATAGCGCAGTTAGAGTTAAACATTGTATTATATTAGAGGTAAGGTTTAACATAGTTATATAATTAGGTAGTTAAGCGTTTAATTTAGCGCGGACTAAGCGGCTTATTAGACCTACTAAGTTAGTAGTAATAGAGGTTAAGATTAGAATAAAGACCGGCTATAAGGGCGTAGCCTTTAGAAGAGAAGCGTATATTAGGACTAAAGAGGTTATACGTAATTAGCATATAACTAGGCTTAAGTAAAGCTAGGGTCTTAATGCCTTAGGCAGGGCTTAGCGCTTAGTAATAGGCTAACTTACCCGCCTTCCTCCCTCTCCTCCTAGCTCCTTATCGAATACTACCTATACCTACTACTACCTTATCTACCTACTAACATACCCTTCTTATACTCTCGAGCCGATAGCGTACGAGCACGACCTAAGCGACGGCTTAATCTACTATTACTATCTCCTACTTAGCTGCTACTACCTTCTACTCGGCGACGCGTAGTCTCCTCGTAATCTAGATCCTATATAGCTCGACCTCTAGTATTCTTCGCTGCTATCTTCTTACGAGCCTCGATAGTAGAGCGAGCAGAATTCTAGGTATTCTTCTACAACTAGTTACGGCGCTGCTATTAGTTAGTAGGCTAAGCGGTAGGTTATATAGGCCGAAGCGCGGTACCGGCGGCCGTAGTAGTAGCCTCCTTTGCCTTCTTATTGTCGTCCTCCTTCTTCTTCTTCTCTATAGCGAAGACCTCGTATCTAGCAAAGATACTATAGATAATACGGTTTATCTCTAGGAGAAGCGCTTCTATAGGGATCTCTCGACGGTTGTTCGCTTTATCGGCTTAGTGCTACGTATAGAACTCTATAGCCTACTCTTCGATATCTGTTTCCTTAATAGGAGCGTCGTAATCCTAGCCGTAAAAAGAAGTATAGCTGCGGAAGGCATTATCCGTACGGCCGTACTTCCAGTTAAAGACATTATAGAGATTCTGTAGGGTAGGCTCCGGTACTACAAATGCGGATAGGATTACTCTAAATAGGCGATTATCGTATTAATCTAGAAAGATTAACTCTATAATATTAGAGATAAAGGTCTCGAGATATAATAGGGCGTAGTACTAAGTTAATCTAGCAGTAGGGGCTGTTAGTGCCTTTAGCACTAGTAGAGTAGTATAGCCCTCCTAGACTAGCCGATTTAGAAGATCTAGATTATATATACTACAACAATCGGCGGTACCTACTACGACCTTATCGATAGGATATACACACTCGTATTCGCTATAGATCTCTAAGATTATACTACGAAAGCAACGGCAATACGCTAGGTTAGGGTAGTAGCGTATATTCTATAACTATAGCTAGATGTCTAGGGTATTATTATACTAGCCGATCTCCTTATTAGACTAGGGCTTCTTAGTAGCGTTCTTAGCGATCGCTTTTGCGATAGCGTTATTAAAAGGATTGCCTATAGACTAAAAAGGACGAGGTAGTATAGTAACTGCTTGCTACTAAGCGGCTATAATAGTGTCCTTATCTTCCCCTTTATCCTCCTAACTAAACGTATCGAAGATAGCCTTATTAACGTTAAACTCCTTACTAGGAACGGTAGTATATCGAAGGTTAGATAGTCGGACTAGGATATAGTCCTATAATTAATAGGGTATAACGGTATTAGTACTAGGCGCTGTTAGGTATCGTAGGATTATCGAGCGGTACTTAGAACCCTCTACTATACGCTTTTCTAGATTATTAAGCTAGTATAGCGCGAATATAACTGCTAATGCTTCTATACTAGGGATACGAGCCGCTCGACTAAACTTCTATATTAGATTATCGACATCCTTAGTAATTAGAAGCTTAATCTAGATTACTAGGGCGATATCTAGTATATTAACCCTAGTAGAAGTTGCTAGAGTGCCGAATAGGATGCGGATTTAAGACTGTCGCTTCTTAAACTCCTTATATCGCTTGTTCTTATTAATATTAGCTATATACGCCGTATAGAAGGACACAATACCGAGTATATAGATAGTGCGGTCTCCGCTAGGTACTAATAGCTCTCTATCCTAAGTATACTTCCGCGAGTGTTGCTTAGCCGGGGACTTCTTATTAATATAATTAGTTAAGAGTACGAGCTACTAGTATATCGTTACTCGGGCCTTGTCGATCTGCTTACGACTATTAATAAATATAATAGTCTTCTAGATGTTCTATAGTATAGCTAAGCCCTTATTGTCTACTATATACTAGACCGTAAAGTATAGGTAATCGAAGCCTATTATCTAGCCCTTCGGGATTTCTTATAAGATATATCTAGTATCCGGGCGATCGATAGTGCTTTAGATAACCTAGGTCTAGAAAGCGCTATTGCCCTATAGACGGAGGCTATACTCGAAGAGGTACTTCTTAGTTTCCTTAGTTAATATAGTAGAGTACGCGAGAATAGTCGTATCCTATATTATAAGCTAGCGAAGGAGGTAAAGGATACTATAATCTCCGCGGAAGTCCTTCTACTTAAGATATATATACGCCTTATCCTATACCTATAAGCTAAGGCGATCGGCAATGCTACGTAGGGCCTCCTAGAAATTAGCGCTTATTACTTACTCGGGACTGCAGATAATATACTAATATCGGCCTTCCTTAATATTTACTAGCATGCCTAGATCCTTCTCCTTAGTCTAGGTAGTAAGGACGTAGACCTTAATTAGATTCTACTTATCCGGATCTAGCTAGCGGATAGCTTATACTATATCCTCGCTCTACTTATTAGTAATGCGGGTTAGCGGCACGATCTGTAATATAATAAAGCTAGTAAGTATAGTATAGGCCTAGAAGATAATCGTTTTACTAGCGCTAGTACGAGCTAAAAGCAATATATCCTGTCTCCCGAAGATAATAGTATAGACGTAGTCGAGCTATATCTTAGTCGGTTCTAGTAATAGCTCGCGATAGGGATATATTAGCTTTAATATACGCCGCAGACTATACTTAATAATGCGATTATAGAATATAATCGCCTATTCGTTAGCGCTAGCGTCCTATATAAGTAACTATACCTCCTCGAGGCTATACTTATCTATATTAGCGTAGCGCTATTCGAAGTATGCCGCTTAACTAGCTTTATTATCCTCGTTAAGTTCTAGTATCTCTAGCTCGCGGTCGATAGTCTATTAAGGCTCTATTCGATTAATTATAGGCCGACCGGATAGGCGTACGAAGTACTTATCGCCTTCCTTCTTACGCCGATTTCTAGCGCTAGCGCTAGTATCGCCGATATTAAGTCTACCCTTCTTAGCCTTATCGCGATCGCGCGTAGAGAGGTTAGAGAGCGCGTTAGGCATTACAGTCGCCTATTATATACTATCGGAAGTGTTAGCGGAAGTATTAGTATAGTAGATATAGAAGATATCGGAAGACTAGGTATCGAGTATTAGATATAATAGTCGGGGTCTATTAAGCGGTAGTATATACGACTTTAAGAAGCAGCAAAGACTAGCAGAGCGCGTATCTGTACTCTTAGAATAGTAGGTCTCGGCGCTCGAGTGTCGCTATCGCGGCAGTATATATCGGATAGCTAATATACTAGATACGATATAGAGGTACTAAATACTAGATTATCCGGTAGCGTATAACGTTAAACACGATCGCGGATGTGTCTTAAAGGTATCTAAGAAGTTTCAGGTTACTAGGTATACGTATAAGTATCGAGGTACGGAAAAGTTAGCGAGATAGCTATTTTAAGGATAGGTACCGATAGGTAGCGAATATAAGTAAAGGATAGCAAATACGGGCAAAGAGACACTTAGAGGTATTAGAGCATCGCTTTCTAAGGTTCCTTACATAGACAGGGTATTCTAGAAGATAGTTGTTGTCTGTCGCGATATAGGTATTCGTAGAACAAACGGAAAGCCGAAACTGTCCGTATAGTTAGAATAGACTATAGATCTTACTTTTACGATACTAGTTTTAAAATATCTACGATATATTGCGCCTTCCTATACTACAGAACCCCCTCTATATACACTAAGCCCTATCTATACTATATATTAAGTTGTAAATCTATATATAGTCTATAAGGAGGTATTGTAAGTAAGGAATCGCCCGATTAGTATAGTTTGTCTTTAGGCGCTTCGCTAAGGCTCGCTCTTCCTTCTATACTATACTATATTAAGAAGACCCGAGATCCGGTATACGTAGAACATAAAGGAAGTCACGAGTACAAAGCGAAAATAGCCTGAGATGGAGGCAGGGGGCAGGGGTTAGATAACTTCACTTGTTGGGTTGCAGTATAGCAATGACTGCTCTGGAGGAGGGATGGGCAGTTGTATCGGTGATTCTGGGGACGAAAGAAGATCGACGGGGATTGGGGAAGGGTTGCGGGAGGAGATGAATCAGGAATCATGATCGGTGAGGTATACGTGCTGACTCCACTTGTGTGAATGAGAATCATCATCATCATCACCACGTCGCATTTTTCAAGAGATGTACGTATTATTTGGCTATTATCATCAATACATTGAATCGAGAGTCTACCCATTTGCCAATGGAAGAGCACAATTCCTTATAGCGTCTTCTGAGCTGGTCGTTGATTTGCAAACTCTTGCTTCCCGAAGCTATCTCAGGCCACGAATGACTCTTTTCTTCTTCCGCATTTTCCCATCTCGTGAAGTATCGGAAGGTCATGGCAAGGTATGTCGCGAAGATTCATGCGAGACATAAGAGTACCGTATACCCTCTAATCTCTTCATCAACATTGCATTCTTCATCAGACATCACAAAAACAGTCGAAAGAACGAAAATTTTCACATCAACATCGGCCAATTACACCACAAGCTTGATATCACGTTCACCTCTCCTATCTGGCCTGGTCGGCCTTTCTCCATCATCATCATCATCAACCTATCTCACGAGGTGTCTATCACCATCTACAAATCCCCCCAGCACCAGCTAGCCAAAACAACCAATCGACAGAACCCTCTCGCCAACCAACCCGACAAATCCAGTCCAGTTCCCCACAGCATGGCACCAGTCAGATACCGCTACATCTCATCCCGAGACATAAACATAAACATCCATTCTCAAGAATCATAAGTCCCCCTCTTCATTCAACCCTCCCAACTAACACCGCCCCAAGCCCTGAATCCGCAATCGAGCACTACGCTCGTCTCCAGAATTTAGTAAAACGACATCAAAGACAAAACACTTTGATTCAGATTTTGGTGATTCATCGTTGGAAGGATTATATGGAAAGGAGGAGGAAGTTGGTCTGGAAGGTTTTGATGGCGTTGAGGTTGAGGGTACTTATTAAAGGGTTGGGTGAGGGGAGGAGTAGGATGGGGTGGGAGGAGGAGGGGGGACGGTTGTGTTTGGTTAGTTAGATTGCTGGCTAGATAGAGGTTGGGTATATCTGTTTTATGTCGGTGGATGATAAATTTCGTGATTTCTGCTTGCGCTGCTGTTGTATTTGTGCTTCTTCTTTGGTGCTTGGGGGAGTTTGCCATCTGCTTGGCGCTTTTTGTTGGTGGCCGGAGGACCGCTTTGACCAAAAATCATCGGTGCAATTTCTGTCGATGGGAGATTGTCGTTACTGGTTTTGTCGATGGCGTTTCGCTCGGGAGAATGGCTGTTTTTCCGGATGGGATCGTGTCCTTCGTTGTCAATCAATGGCTCGCTGACCTTGTCCACGGCCTTCGCTGTACCATGATCTGTGGTCGACGCGTCGTGTTCTTGATGCTTGGTCGCTAGTCCTGAGCTGTCATCTTCTCGGCTTCGATCGAAGAATAATCCTTGCAGTGTGCCCTTCCACGTTTTCAGCTCATCTCTTTCCTTTTCCGCCCCTTTTCTGGCATTGAGATGCATCACAGCATTTGCTTCCGCCTCCTGAGCTCTCTTGCTCTCCTGCTCCTGGGTCCTCTTATTCTCCGAGAGCTGCAGCCTGCAAGATTCGAGCTCGTCTAATAGTGTGTTGCACTTGAGAGATTTCTCATTGAACTGCCTTGTCCTCTCTCTAAGCGTTTCATTCAAGCCTTCGCGCAATGCCTGTTCTTGCTGAGATTTTGCTGCTTCGATCTTCACTTGCGCCTGAGCATCGTGAAGCTCCTCAACAGAGTCTCGATGTGCTGCACACACGTCGTCATACCTCTTCTGTGACTGCTTGCGGAGCTTCAACTCTGCACTGTATTCTTCGGACGCCTGTGCGTAGCCTTGACGTTCAGCCTTGACATCGGCTTCACTCTGCTGCAATTCACAACGCGTCTTTCTAAGCTTCCAATTCCGGCTGATCAACCTCGCAGCGGTATTCCGTACAAGAAGATCAGTCTGAACACACCTGACGCCCTGAAGAAGCAGGCGGGCAGCAAATTGATCGCGTGACTCTTCGAGTCGCTTAACGAGGCATCTATCTTGAACGCGTCTCACTCCATGGAGAAGTAGGGTAGCAGCGAAACGGTCGCGTGATGCTCCAATCTGCTCAATCTGGGATGATCGATCACTGTTGGTCTTCTCAAGCTCGATGATGCACGCTGCTTGGAGCTTTTCGGTCGATAGAAGCTTTGCTACTTCTGCCTTGGCCTTGTCCGCCGTCTCTCGCAGATCTCCTCGCTCTTGGAGATGAGTGCGGTTCAACTCGTTGATGTTGCTCTGATTCTGCTGGTCGATGCTTTCCTTCTCTTCATTCCATTCCTTTTGTTTCCTCTCCAACTCTGCCTGAAGCTCCTCGGCCTTCTTCGTCCAGGCAGTAGCGGCGTTTGCGTTTTCGTCCGCGCGTGCCACATGTTGATTTAGCAGAAGTTCTTGCTGCTGACACGTCTGCCTCAAATTCGACAGCTCGAATGTCTTTTTTTCCAGCTCGGCAAGAAGGATTTCGCAGTTCGTTGCAAGAGTCTCATTGCGACTGGTCGCATTGGCGCTGGCCTCCCGCTGCCTGTGTCACTACAGCCTTCAAGCATCGCGTGGAAGCCAGAGGCCGTGGCCGTGTCGTACGACAGGGGTCATATGCGGCTTGCCAGTCTCCGGTGTCCAGCCTTCAAACGCATGGCCAGACACCAATCGATAAATCGAAAGATGAGGATTCCGTTCTGATCGGAGACGCGATAGGACTGCCCCCCTTGTACATCACATGCATCGCTTGTCGTCGGTGACACGAGCGGCATTGTGCATTGCAGGCAGAAAGACTTCACGCGTGGTAGGCGCGTCACAAGTGGACATCTCGTGGAGCGACAATCGCCAACGACCTTGTCCGTGTCTTTGCGTTGTATCGTGAGCAATTGAAAGGAACTCACTCAGGCTGAGATGATCTTGGTCAGCGTCTTGCTCTGGCGAACGTCGTGGTTTTCTGGGCATTATTGTGATCTGCCGTGAGTAGCCGGCATGGACCGATCACTCTGGACACTCGTGATGCATCAGTACAGTCCCAATTGACCGTGAAGTAGAGTCACAAGTTGTGTCTTGACTGGCTGGCTTCGAATTCAATCGATCTCACTTGTTCTTGCCCGAAAGAGCCACACACCGGCCGGGCCGTTTCTCCCGCATACATAAACGGGTCGAGCTTTCCTTAACATCACTCCAACCTCGAAGTCATTCCGCCACATACGACACCGAACAGAATACCATATTCTTGACCAACTCTCGCCCTACCGCCACCATGGATCCCGACGTGGCTCGCATGTTGGCCGATTTGGGCAACAGTCGCCGCGATGAGATTTCTGCACCAGATGAGGGCGACCCCGATCAGTCATATCGAAATCGGCGCGAAGAACGCGAGATACTGCTGAGGGCCGAAGATCATCGGGCCAACGCTCATCTTCATGCAAAGAACCCGGACGAGGCAGCTGCCCTCGAGGCGTGGAACACGCCATCCACGTTCGGCACTGATGATGTAGCTGAGCAGATGGAGAATCGGTACAGTGGCCAAGGACATCGTGCGCGCCTCGAACAGAAACGGTCTCAGCGTTTTGGGTATGAGGCCAATGAAGGGTATCACTCATCACAGCGCTCCCGTCAGGACTATGCTCAGGTAAGTCGGAACATGAGATCATCTTTCCCTGAGTACCAGAGTCTGACAAATCTGCAGGACGAGGCGAATCGTCGTGCTCACCATCAGGCATACCAGGCGAGAGCGAATGCTCCAGGGCCGTCTCGCCAGCGCGCTGCTTCACCTCGATCATTCGGCAAGGATAAGTTTATAAGAGACCAGCGGCTTCCACAACAGTCTGGAGTACTTGCTGCAGCATCGTCAATTCCGACAGGCGGCTTTGCGTTTGCCCCATCGACCTCAGCTTCATCGGCTTCTTCTGTAACAGCCGTGACAGGTGTTCAGGCCCGACCAGTCGCGCCAGTACCCCAGGGTCATAAGCCACCGACGGCTCCTCAAGCTCCCGCGCCTGCAGCTCGAACTCGTGCTGTGGGTACGAGCACAGCGAGTCAGACAGTCTCTGGTCCGCGAACGTCTGCTCTAGCAGCCGCAGCGACTTCGCCACCTATGCCGCCGCCAGCTAAGGCAAAGTCGATCACTAGAGAAGGAATGCTTGGCTCGATCTACAAGCATCTTATGAAGAACAAGGACGCATACTTTCCCAAGCCGGCTGTACAGGAGAAGACCGGAGAAGATGATCAAAAGGCTGTGGAGCGTCGTGAGGCCCTCACAGAAACTTCTATGATCGCGATTCCGCTACCTGCCCAGCTTCCTGTCGACGAGTGGATGTCTAGCGGTAAAGACATGCAGAGATCCAAGAAGATGCAGGCACTCAACGACGCCGCAACGAAGGAGGATCAGGCTTCTTATTGGCAGAAGCCGAATGAGATCCACCTCTTGCACACTGCACGCGAGAAGATTGCTGAGGACGTGGCTTTGCTCGCGCAGCCAGAGCACTCAGAGCAAGCTGACGACTACTATAAAAAGCAGCGATATCGCGAGTGGCTGCGTGCATATGGGGCTCAGGCGCGAGTTGGTTCTGTGGGGAATACCGATATTCCAGTTATCGCCGAAATCGTCAAGGCCACAAACAATCTGCTGAGCAAGGGCATCGCAGCAGCAGCTCTTCGGAGCCCTGCAGTCAAGACTGGGTCCACCACCGCTCGTCCTCCCACGCCCCCTTCCACCGTCAGCAACTCCCGCTCGAGCAGCATTGGCGCTCAGGAGCCCACCGAACTGTCCTCTCCACCACAGCCCGAGACTGCGACGGGATCCCTAGGCGCCACCTTCTGCAACAAGGATGGCGTCTGTATGGGCACTCGGCAGCGCCCTGCCGACGCTCCCGTCAATGCGAAAATCACTTTTCCTGGCACATACGATGTGCTGGGAATGGCCGAGGGGGCGGACTCGCTGGCGGTTCAAATAGGTCGTCGTAAGGAGGTTCGCGCACGCAATGGATTCTATCCTTCCGCGGCCGGCAAATACTTCGCAAATTAGGAATCTCCAAGAAGGAAGGCGCGGAGATGTGTTGCAGAGGGTCGGGACAGTAGCTTCAGCTACCGGTGTTTCATAGATTGCTTGAATTAGCATGAAGTTGATGAGCGTCGTGGTGGGTTTGGAATATACCTGGCTAGGATGTCGCCGAGAAACGAGGGCTTAGCAGGGACGTTCGTCTCCATTTCCATTTCCATTTCCATTTCCATTTCCATGTCTGTGCGTGCTGTGTTGTAGATGTGCGATGCTGTAGTTTCTTTGCTCGTGGAGTTCGACAATGTGATGTTGTAAGTGCCCCACGTAGAAATTAAATTCGACTCCTTCGGGTCAAGGATTCTAAGCGTAGCATATCGACTCTGCGGGTACCTGTATTCGAAGAAAGTCTCGAGACAAATATGTGAGGACTTATGATCTCACTTCATCTGCTTCGGAGAACTATCCCGCGGGGACGAAGCACCGGAGAACGCTTTGAATGTCAATGGCGAATTCAAGACAAGGTACGTACAAGAGTTCTTGAAAATGTACGCCTCCGCTAAGAGGAGATGAGCACGTACTAGGTAGCTTCCTCGAAGCTCGACGGAATCGAGCTGCTTCTTATTTTTTCAGCTTCTCCTCGAGTAACGACCCAGATGTTAGAGGATACGTCTCCAGAATCCTCGAGCAGCTAGATGAGGAGTTCGATCCTCTGAATTTTGAAGTCAATTCGATGGAGCATGGCATGGAGGTCATGCTGCTTCTGAAGATTCGGTCGAGGAGCCTGAAGGCGAGGAGGTACATAAGCTCGGGAAAGATTACATTTCTTTTCTTGAGTCGGGGTTGTTGGATCTGACTTACGATGTATGCATAAGGAATGAGAGAACGTAGTGTTCAGATTTCCTCTTTCCTGCTTCCGAAGGTTCGCGGATTCTTGGCATCGAAAGAGAAGCGCTCTCTCACCACGCCATCCACATCATTGCTTTTACACGCTCTACATTATGCACAAGCATCTGCCTGCGGACACGTGTTCATCGCAATCGACCCGGGCGTGGGTTGCGGAGGATGAACACTCCAGGATGATTTTTTTTGGAGCCTGTTATTGGGCCAGAGGCAGAGGCAGAGGCAGAGGCAGAGGGAGTCGTAAGAGGGCTTTGCGATATTTTCAAGATCATGTGCACGTGCTTCGCTCCCGCATGTTCAAATGCCATGTTCCCAATTTATGTGTCCTGTATGCCTGGCCAAGGTTGCATTCGTGGCGACTTGGTCGGCATCTTGGGCGGACGCGAATCGAGCTGGAAATTGAAAGGTAGCGGTACACGCTCTGCTTGTATCGAATGTCTGCGTGGAAAGAAAGAAAGAAAGAAAGACGCGCTCGCCGCCGAGAAGCGTGAAAGTGGAAGCATTACGGAGGCCTATACGTACCAGAGGCTCAATGCAGCACTTCTTACCGCAGCGATACAGTACAATCTTTGCCCCTACAAATTGTTTTTAATGTATCTTTTTATCTAGAGGACTTATAGCTATACAATATATAGCAAAGATACTCTCATTTAGGTCTATTTTTAGAAAATATTGAAATTTTTAGTCGTTCCCTCCTAAATTAATAAGCT